TTCGGCAAATATGCTCAGTTCGGGAGAGAATGCTCAGTTCGGAAAATATGCTCAGCACTTAAACAAATCCTTCCATTCCGAAAGGTAGAACAGTACAAAAAAAAAAAAAAAATTACAAGCCAGGAGCTATTTCATCATCGTCAGAAGGCACTTCGACAAAACCCGAAGGCCCCGCCTCACCCTCGAAGTCTGGCTCGGCGTCAGCAGCATTAGCCATCTCCTGAGTTATGCGCGAAGTGGATATGGCGCTAACATCGAGCTCGGGGTACGTATTCCGGATCATCCATCGGCTTAGTTTAAAACCCCTCCTATATGAATCCACCATCAGATCATCAAAACCCGGCAAAGCGATGTACTCTTCGACGGCCATCTTCTTGGCATCTTCGATACCTTGGGAAAAGATCTGCGTCCTCTCCCTGATGTCCTTCTGAAGATACTCGACCTGATGCTGCAGATCCAGCCTCAAGTCTGCCATGTGCTTCACCACCACTCCCATGGCCTCGGCATCTCTCTGAGACCTCGCCTACCTGATCCGGGAAAAACGAGCAGTCTCTTCAGCAGCACGAGCAGTCTCTTCAGCAGTACGAGTGGCTTCCTCGGCCGCACGATGAGCCTCTTTGGCAGCTCGCGCCTGCCTCGAGCTCCTCTCCACCTGAGCCGCCAAGGCGTGAATGGAAGAGTTCACCTGCCAAAAGAGACCGAATGATCAAAAGAACCAACAAAACAAAAGCCAAAGAGCTAAAAAAGAACACTTACCACCATGGCATGGGTAACGGCATGGCTGGCCACTTGATGCAGAGGGAGATCAGTCCATGTCGCGACCTCCTCGGGGAAGATGGCCTCTTTACTCTTTTGAAGAGCATGGGTCGGCGTCAACATGCTCCTGAAATCCCCCGGGGCCCCCGAGCCCGAGGGACCAGCTCGCGTATGAGCAGACCCGGAGTAAGCAGGAGCACCGGAGTATGTAGGAGCCCCTGTGTATGTAGTCTCAGCATAAGGGGCCCCCGCCGGCTCCTGCATCGGAGGACCATCTCGGGCCCCCTGGGTGGATCTTCTGGCTGGTAGCCCAGCACCTCGGGCTCCGTGTCCTGAGGCACCTCGGCGCGAGTTCGCTTGGCAACCCGCTTTCTCCTCTTCATACCTTGAAACAAGTGCCCACGTCGGGTCCCTCACGAATCCATCACACCTGCGAAAAGAAGTTCGCCATTAGTAAAAAGCAAGAAAGACAGCAAGATAAGAGTCTCTAAGTGAAGGACCTACCCGAGCTCAGGTCAGCCGCAATGAGCTTGGCCTCCGTCAGATACTGTTCACACTTCAGCCCAAGCCGCGCCCATTGYMGGAGGYCCTTCGCCGTCTCCTTGTCAAGCGTAACCCCGGAGTCGGGAGCGGCCATCCCCCACCCGGTCTGAAAAGGCCGCCCCAGCACACTTCGCACCCCGAAAAAGTCCCACTTCCATGCTGGGACCTTGTTGGGGAGCTCATGTAAAAGCTTAAAACCCGGGCGAGGAGACAGGTAGTAAGCCCGCCTGCGCCCGAGGAGAGGATCCGCTTGCTTCTTGAGCATCAAGATTGAAGAAAAAATCTCCAAGTCCAACAGAAAGCTCTCGTCATAGAAAATGGAGATTGTCCCCACCAAGTTCCGAATGGAGTTCGGGTGAAGCTGGCCGACTGTCACACCGAAGTGGTTCAAGACTTCGACAAAGAGGGGGTGGAAAGGCAATCGCAGCCCCGCGGCGAGCTGATCCCGGAATATTACAATCTCATCAGGACCGTGTTCCCAAGGAAAGCTACCCGAAGGTATGGAATAAGCATACTCCTCGGGCAAGTTATAGTAAGTAATGAGGGATTGGAGCCCCTCGGGCGTCATGGTTGAAGGGCCGAACT